AATAATTTACAAGTTTTTGGAAAATCTCTTTTTCAACCTGAATACAAAATATTAAAAAATTCTTTTGAAAATAGATTACCAAAAGAAGTTATTCTTGAACTATTTAAGTTGCAAGATCAAATAAATAAAAACAATGTAAGTCCAGAGTTTATTATTAAAAACATTTCAAGAGATTTAAAAGATAAAACAGATATAGAGTGTCAATTTTTTGAAACAGCAGAGGATGTACCAGAACCTGAAAATCTTAACTGTATTAAAAATAATTTAATGATATTTGATGATTTACAATTAACAAAGCAAAACAAGTGTGAAAAGTACTATATAAGAGGAAGACATAGCAATGTAGATTGTTTCTACTTGGCACAAAATTATTTTGAGTTGCCTAGGAGAACGATAAGAGAAAATGCAAATTTTATATGCTTGTTTAAACAAGATTCTAAAAATGTAAATCATATTTATAATGACCATGTTTCAAATGATATGAAATTAGATGAGTTTAAAAAGTTTTGTAATGAAGCTTGGTCAAAAAAGCATGGATTTGTTGTTATAGATTTGTCTTCTAGTCTATTAAATGGAAAGTATAGAAATGGATTAGATTTATATTATTATCCAACTTCATTGTGGAATTGATAAATATATATTTTTTAAAAAAATATTTTTTTTTTTTATGAAGACTTAGCGAAGCATTGGTTCTTTCAGAACTTAGCGAAGCCTGGATCACGAAGTGATCTAAAGAAGAAGACCTAATAAGGGTATATTCTTAAATGGAGAATTTTCTCCTAATAACAAGCCTCTACCTACTGATGAATATTCATTTCCATTTTTAGAATAATATCCATCTAAATAATAATAACTACCATTCCATGGGTTTAAAAATACACCTTTTCCTACTTTTCTAATTTTAAATCCACTACCATTCTTTTTCACATAAATAATACCATTTCCAGCAATTTTATTAACTGTAGTACTTCCAGCAGCTGCAGCTGTTCCAGTCAATAATCCTGTTGCTATAGCCGGAACAACTTTTGATGCAATTACACTTCCAATTAATCCTAGTAGAGGTAGAAATCCACCATTTACTTTAGTATTATGTTTAAGTTGTGCTCTACTCAGTGAAAGTGTTATACCCTTATTTTTTAAATAAGCTGCTTTCATTCTGTTTCTTTGTGAATCTGTTAAAGCTATTTTATGTTCACCATTTAGATCTTGATGTGTTAGTTTTATAACAGCATTAGTATCAGATTCAATTGCTTTTTTAATTTTTTCTTTCTGACTATCTGAAAGATTGATAAGAGTATCATAATATTTTGTCATTTTTGTATATAAAATAATTTTTTTAATTCATTTTAAGTTATTGCTTTCTGTAATGCTTTATAGTCATCATCATCTATTTGACCCTGTCGTAACAACTCATCAAAAATAGCAACAATCTCATTTCTTGTTCCAGTATTTCCTGCTTGTAAACCAGCTAAGCGTATTTTAAGCATCTCAAATAGTGCATTTGGATCACTAGGATATGACAACACCTTTTCCAGACTTTCCAATCATCTCTTCCCAAATAGGTTTTATTACATTAGTGTACTTATAACTTCTAGATGATCTTGGTTTAGCTGAATTTAAATCAGAGCGAATTGCATCTGTTTGATTTAAAATTTCCTTATACTTATTACGATCATCGTTAGTATATCTAACAGGATGAGATTTTACTATGATTTCCCAAAGACCAGGTGTACCAGTGTATTTTTTACCTTCAATAGTTATATCATTACCTTCAATAGTTATTGGTTTTTTACCAATGTAAAATTTTTCATCATCTTTATTGTAATGTATACCAAATATATCATCTGATACTTTTTTACTATTTTTAGTAGTATATAACTTTAAATATTCTGCTGCGATAGGTCCTAACGACATTTTATCTACAACTTCAGGTGACATGATTGCTTTAGTTTCAGAATCTAGTAAAGCAGGATAATTTGAAAAAGTATTAGCTATTTGATCAGCTTTATTTTCTAATTTAGATATACCTTCTTTTATTCCAGATTGACTATCAATTATTGGTTTGTACAATTTTTCCAAGTTAGTCTGTAAAGCATCATAACCTAACTTTTCATTTACATCATCTTGATATATACTTTTCTTTAAACTAGCAAGTTCTTTTGCTATTTTTAATCTTGTATCAATATCTGTAGCTTTTGCATACATTTTTATATAAGCAATAATTTTTTTAAATCACTCTATGATCCTCAGATCCCTAAAAAGATCTAAATCAACATATATTATGTTCAAGTAATACATAATATATGTTCAAGTAATTCATAATATATGTTTTAATTTTTAAGAGTATTATTTATCACTCCTATACTTTGATTCTTATTAAATTTCATATTTAGCGCTTCTATAATATCATTTGTTCCTTTTTCTACTCCTTTATTAAATATTGACTCTTTAGTCTGCTCATCTATATCTTTCTTAGATTTTGTTCTAATTTGTTCAGTCATAGCTTGAAACTTTTCAAGTTCTGAAAGTATCATATTAAATTCTGCATCATCAATATATTGATCTGATATAGCTTTAGAAATAAGACTACTTATTGTATTTAGTTTTGCATCAGCTAGTACTTTAATCTTTTCATGCTTTTCTGCTTTTATTGTTAATTTTTTAATAGCTTGTGATCCTATTAATGATAATACACCTAGTCCTAATGCTGCAATTTCACATCCAATAGCTACTGGTGATCCAACTATTGTTGTTAAAAAGCCAATACCAACAGCTCCAAGTGTCATTGTACTAGCTAGTAATGAATTATCAATAGCTGAAACTATTCTTAAAGCTTTGTGATATTTCTTACTTAAGATCTCTCTTCTAATTCTTTCACATTCTATCTTATTTTGAATTTCATTTATTTTAACTAATCTAAAATTCTGATCAGATAGTGGTGGTGCAGATGGATTTTCTGAAAACTGGTTAAGATCTGGATAAAGCTGTTTACATTCATTATTACATTGCATTTCTTTTTTCTATAAAGAAAAATTTGTTTTAAATCACTTTTTACCAAAATCAAATAGAGCATTGTCAGATTTATCTATACTAGGTTTATCTTTATCACATATAGTTTCTTTAATTATTTCTCCTAAACTAGATAATATAGATTTTACAGATTCTTTATCACTTTGAGACCTAACTTGTTCTACTTTTTTATCAAGTTCTGATATATAATTTGCATTAAAAACACCATTATAAGATGAAATACAGCATAACAAATCTCCTTTTTTAATGTTTATATCTTTATTATCATTATTATATAAAGTTATTTTAATATCATCAGTAGACTCTATTACAACAGAATTTAGTAAATTTAGAGTAGGTTTATAATTTTCTGCAAGTGAAATCAATACATGACCTTTATCTATTTTGACTCCACACATTAAAGAAATGTTATTGTATGAATTTAATTTTACTGTAAAATTTTCTTGTGCGAATACTTTAATATGCCTATCATTTATTGATCTATGCTCTATATCTGAATTAATATTAAAAGTTATTGTATATTTTTCATGCTTTTTATAATCTAATAACATTCTTCTCTTATACATTTTTTAAATGTAAAGATTTTTTTAGATCACTATAAATATAATACTTTTAAAGTATGATATTTTTTCATTTTTTTAAAGTTCTAGCAATATAATTTAAAATGCTTTCACCTTTATGTAAAAAATTACACTTTTTATTATCATTAATATTTTTATATAATAATATTTTTCTCCTTTTTTATTTTTCTTTAATTTACTCTCTACTAATTTACATGGAGTATAATGACAAATTTCTACATTTTCTTCAATTTCTTTTATAGAATGAGCATATTTGCAATTTATATTTTTACATTCTTTTTTATCAAGAATATATTTGCATAATTTAGTTTTAGCATTTCTTAATTTTAATAATTCTGACTTTTTAGGATGAAATAATACACATTCTTTATTCTTACATTTAGGATATTCAGAGCAAATATGAATATGCCTATATTGACATGAAGATTTAGTGCATATTGATCTTTCCTTTACAGTATTACAATATGGAATATCATGATTGTATTTACATTTATATCCAAAAGGACAGAAATTATCATTTAAAATATTTTTACAGAAAATGGGTAGTTTCTCTACAAAATGAATTGTTGAAGGTTTTCCATCTTTAGTAAAATTAATATCAACATTAAATGGTTTTTCAGAACTAAATTTTCTATTTTTGTTGTGTTTTTTAACAAAAAACTTATCTATAGTAGGATAATCATCATCGGTATTATCATTATAAGTTGGAACATAATTAATCCATTTCAGTTTATCTTTATACAATTCCATAATTTGTACTGTTTTTGAAGGAATTGGAACTATACATTTTTCTTGAATTTCTTCTTCATCGGAATCATCAGATATAAAATAAGTATCATTTTCAGAGTCAGAATCAGATTCTTCAAATTCAAATTTTCTCATTTCTTCAAAAAGTTTAAATTCTTTTTGAAATTCAGATATTTCATTAATCTCATCATAATTCATTTTTATTTTTATTATTTGATAAAATATTTTAAATCAAAAAAATTGAAAATGAGTTAAATAATTTTCTTATGTATATAAAAGAAATGGAAAAGAAACTTGAAGAATTATGCATTGACTTAAAATTAATAGATACAAGATTAAGATTAATAGAAGAAAAATTACATATTATTGATACACATGATATTGAAATGACTAAAGAAGATGATGATGAAGAAGTTACTACAGTTACTACTACTGAAGTTACTGAAATTACAGAAACTACTGAATATGTTGATGATGAAGATGATAATGAAGAAGATGAAGAAGTTACTACTACTGAAGTTACTGAAATTACAGAAACTACTGAATATGTTGATGATAATGTTGATGAAGAATTATGCTTAAAAATAATAAATAAACCTTCATCTCAAATATATCGTGATATTGAAATATTAATAAAAAAATATGGGTATAAAAATGGAAATAAAATTGACTTTGCTGCAGAAATAGGTAGACTTGATTTAATTAAATTATTAACTCAATTAGGACATAAGGGAACAGAAAGTGCAATAGATAATGCTGCTGAAAATGGACACCTTGAAGTAATTAAATATTTACATGAATTAGGGTATAAAGGTACAGAATGGGCATTTAATTATGTTGCGAAAAATGGAGATTTAGATAGTGTTAAATATTTACATGAATTAGGGTATGAATGTACAGAATGGACAATTCATTGTGTTGCAAAAAATGGACACCTTGAAATATTAAAATACTTGCATGAATTAGGGTATAAAGGTACAGGATTTACATTTGATTCTGCTGTTGAAAGTGGAAATCTTGAAATTATTAAATATTTACATGAATTAGGGTATAAAGGTACAGAAATAGCATTTAATTGTGCAGTAAGTAACCAGATTTCACATGAATTAGGGCATAAAGGTACAGATAGTTACCTTGAAGTAATTAAATATTTACATGAATTAGGGTATAAAGGTTCAGAATGGGCATTTAATTTAGCTGTGAGAAATAAATATATTAATACTTTTGATACACGTAGTGACTAAAAATTCTAGTAGTGATAAAGTTAAGCAATGCTTCTACTATGCTTAAGTAAATCCCAGCGCATGCGCATTAAAACAAGAAAAATGAGTTAAATAATTTTCTTGTGTATATAAAAAAGAATGGAAAACGAAATGCAAAAAGAAATTAATCCAGCATATTTAAACTTAAAAAAAAGATTAGAAATAATGAGTAAAGATTTAATATTAAAATCTAAAAAATTCAGTAAAGAAACAAAATCAGAACTAGAATCAGAATTAGAATACATAAAGTTTATAATAGAAAATATATATAATCATATTAATAAAAAAGAATTATTAGAATTAATAAGACCAGACTTATTAATATTAGAGTGTGTAATAATAACAACAAGGGATATGTTGGTAAAAATATGCGATGATGAAAACATAGAAATATTAAAGTTAAAAGCAGATTATTTAATAGAAATAATAAAAGGAATAATAGATATAATAAATTATTTCTAAATCTAAATAAAAATCCCAGCGCATGCGCACAAGAAACAGCAAGAAAATCACGTGACATTTTTCGACAAGAAATAAAAAATTAACGCTTATTTAAAAAAATTCAATTTTTTCAAATTTATATAAATTTGAAAAATTATTTCTTATCTAAATAATTTATACACAATAGGGATAACATTGAACCCTATATTTTTTAAAATATATGGTTGAAAATAGGGTTGAAAATGAAAATGAGCTAGAACTCTCCTCTCTCTACTACTGCCACTTAATTCCTTTATCAGCTGTAGAGTTAGTATTTTTATCCTTATCTAAGTTGTTGACAATTTCGTTTAGTTCTCGAAATTCACCAACAATATTTGTTCCATTGTCTGTTAAAACTTCCACTCGTAATCTTCTTATATTTATCATTCGATAAAAGGCATTGAGAAATGAATTTGTATCCAGATTATAAGCCATCTCAAAATGTACTGCTCATGATAGTAAACAGGTAAACAAGCATAAGTATCTTATTTTTCGTATCTTCTCTCTACCTTGCATAGTAAGAAATGGACCAACAAAATTGATACCAACTCTAGCAAACGCACGTATTGTTTCTTTAAAGGGCATTGCTGGTAAAGGGGCCATCATGGTTGAGCTGGTTCACATCTTCTTAATTTACATTTGTTGCATTTTGCTTCTGCATCTCGGATTTCTTCTCGTCCTCGTATGACCCAATATCGTTCTGAGTTATAGTTATATAATATAGTTTTGTTAATAATTGATTTGTTCCCATCACATGAATGGCTTTGTCATGGTAAAGTTTAAGAATCATTTTTGTAATTGTATGTCATCTCGGAAAAATGATTGGATGCTTGACATCGTAGGGTAAGTAATGGGCATTTTGCAATTGACTACAAGATCGCAATAATCCGTTTTCGTCAATTTGCGGATTTAAAGAAATAATTTTGCTTGATATCGATATCGGTTTTCCTTTTTCAATGTTTCTATATTCTTCTTTAAAGCTTTATTTTTGAGCTTTAGCTATTATTTCTTTTTCGCTTTCATGATAATCATCGCTGCTATATCACCCTTTTTACAAAAGTCTGTTTAAAATCGACAATTTCAAATAAACCGATGGGTCCAGCCGTTTAACCTGACAAGTTTTTTCCAACATGAAAACTTGTTTATATCAAGCAATTGATTTTTTACTTCAGTGGATAATGCAAAATTCATTAACACTGGATTTTTTTTTGCTTCAATTGAAGTCTCTTGTGTGACTTCAATGTGATTCTGTGGCCATTTTTCTTCTAAAGAATTAAGAAAACTTGGTCCGTGTCACCATACATTATTACTTTCTAATTCTTTAACTTTTGTTTCTCTTGTTAGTAAATCAGCTACATTAGTTTTTGTTAGTATTTATCTCCATTGTTTTATTTCAGTCTTTGATTGAATGAATCCAACGCGGTTGGCAACAAATGGTTTCAAATTTCGACTTTAATTTTTTATCTACCATAAAACATTAAGACTATCACACCATATAGTAACGTCCTTAGTTTCCAGCTTCAATACTTTGACAATTTTCTATGCAAGTAATAAACCTAGGACAGCTCAAGTAACTCAAATCTTGGTATACGAATTGATTGCAATGGGTTTACTAGGGCTTTTGACATTATGATCACACAGGTCACTTCTCCTGTGTCATATAAACATTGTTGGTAAGCAACAGCACCGTAAGCTTTACAAGACGCATCCGTAAAAACATGAATTGACCTATTTGTAACTGTTAAGGTTGTTTGTAAACATCTGGGAATGTTTATTTTTGGGAGATCGTTTAGTTCTTGAAACCATTGGTCAACATTGTTTGCAATCCTAACCGGAATTGCATCATCCCACTCAATTCTATTAATCCACAATTCTTGCATAATTGTTTTAATTCGAATGATATATGGTACTAAAAAACCCAATATATCAAACAACGTTGCCATTTTTTTAAGCAAAATTCGTTATGTATATACCGTATTTTCTTCGGCTGCAACAGAAAATAAATCAGGTTTTGCTTTCCAGACAACTCCAAGTATTTTTATTGCAGACAATTCTTCAGAATCTAAATTTATAAGTTCTGCACGATGATTTTCTGGTGCTACCTTAAGAACTTCGACCGAGTTTGAAAGCCACTTTTGTGCAAAAATTCCTGCTAAACCCCATAGTAGCGTGAGTTCCTTATATAATTGAATTCCTACTTTTTCATCAATTACAGAAGTTATTGTGTCGTCCATGTAAGTTGCTTTAAGAACAGCTTCAGAAGCCAAAGGAAATTTTTGTGCATACTTTCTTGCGTGTTCTTGCGTTACAAGTTGAGCCATAAAAAGCGTTGAGTTGGATCCAATTACAAGCCGATTAAACTGAAATGCCTCAGGCTCGGCAGTTGGATCTAGGTTTCTCCATAAAATTCGTTGGTACCTTTGATTATCTTTATGTATTCCAATTTTTAAATACATTTCTGCTATTACACAAACTAAAGCCACTGGGTATTTTCGAAATCTCAGCAAAACAGTCACAAGGTCTTGTTGAAGTTTTGGACCTTGATAAATAACATCATTAATTGATTTATTATATTTTATTCATATATTTTATTATTATATTTTGCAGATCCATCAAACACAATTCTGACTTTTGTAGTTGATTTATCAGGACGAAGAATTGGAAAATATGGTAAGTACCAACCATCTTCAAGATTCCTTTTATTGATTTTCTCTAAGTATCCCTTTTATTGATACTGTTTAATAATACTATTGTACTTTTCTCCAAGACTTTTATTTTTTTAGGCGTTTTTCCGTGTTTTGTAGTCTGTCTAACGCCATTATATAGCTATTTTCTATCTGTCTATTATCTTTCCATGGTAATTTTAGTTCATATCTTCTGTTCTCTGTTTTTAGCAAATTAGTTATTTTATTAAGGACGGTAGAATCTTCTGGGCTTATTGTTGTTATTCCAAATTGCATCTCTTCGTCGTCTTTAATATCCCATAACTTTTTAATGGTGTTGTTTGGATATTCTATTTCCTTTGTACTAGATGTTATTTTTGTAAAATGGATTTGAAAACCACCAGTGCCACCAATACATGTCCATCCAAGCGGTGTGAGTCGAGCCACTGGTTCATTTTTTCTTTTACTTCCTTAATTGCACAGTGCAGCTCAGCATAATTCACACCAATTAGAATGTCAATTTTTGGTTTTGGTCCAATATTTGGGAATTCGATTTTTCTTACATGTTTTCAACTTTTTGATAAATTCGCCCAATTAACTGCTTTTAAGTTTCCAGTTACATTGTTAACTGTAAAAGTTTCCACTGCAATTTTTGTTTCTCCGTTCAACGATTCTAATTGGAATTCCACCGGCATTGTTTCAAAAGAATCAATTTTTCCATTTATCATGTTTACAGTTACCTTTTCGGTTTTACCTTGCAGTGACAACTCATCCGCTACATCAGAGTTCAAACATGTCTTGGTACTTCCATTGTCAAGCAATGCATTTACCACAACTTTTTTATTTCCATTACGAAGAATAACTGGCGCCGTTTTAAGAGATATGTAGTTCATGACGTGATTTGAATGAAATTGGATGTTCGACGTGTGAGAATTTTCTAATATCGTATCTTTTTCTTTGAAGTCTTTAGAAATTGTTTCATTTTGATGTCTTTTCTTATGAAGCAAACAATTATGAGTATCTGTACAGCCGTCAATCCCACAAACTCTTGTGTTCCTGCATTCTTTAGACGAATGGTTAGAATTCAAACATCTGAAGCAGAGTTTATTTTTCTTAGCTGTCTCCCATCTTCCTTTAATATTTTGATTTTGAAACGTTGGACACTCCCATATTTTATGATTGTTTTTGCAAACAGAACATTTCTGTATCCAATTTATTTTCTTTTTTTGATCACTGTTACCAAAGTAAGAATTTCGAGTACTTTGCTACCAATAGTTTTTTTTTTAAACCTTGTAGAGTTTCCGTAGCTGCAATTTGAAAATCTTTTCTTCAACAATAAACCTTTTAAGAGTTCAACATTTTCGTTTAATCTGTTTTCATACACCCATAGTTTGTATCTAATTAACATTATCTCTGGAACTTTTTTTTTGCAGTTGATGATACAATGTCCCATCGCCAAGTTCTTCCGTTCGATTTGCTTTTTTTAAGTTTGTTACTGCCACATCTAACAAATCCGCAAATTTTTCAACGTCTCTTGGATTATTTTCCCTAATAGGTTTAAAGTTGTTCAATTCATCCAAATACATAAGGACTTTTCTCCTTGTTCCACCATATTTTCTTTAAAGTCTTACTTTCGTAGCTTCATAAGCGAATGACAAATGCCCAAGTCCTTCAATTGCTTTTAATGCGTCTCCACATAAGTATTGACGTAACTGAAGTAATTTATACTCAGCTGTCGCTGGGCTTGATCAATACATGCGTAGTATAAAGCTTTTCAATTTTCATAGTTCTTTTCATCGCTATTAAACATTGGTATAGAGACGCGTTTTAGTTGTTTCCATAAATCATGTCCAATTTTTGCAGTCTTTTAATCCAAATTAATTATTTCATTTTCCATTTTAAGCATGATATGCGTTGATTTGATAGGTTCCATTTCGCTACTCCCATTTTCTACTTTATTATCTTCATACTGGTCATTACTTTTTTGAGTATTTAACCATTGATAATATTGCTTTTTTGTTTCCATTTTAAGTTCTTTTTCCGTCCTTTGTTGTTTTAAACTTGATTTTATACTTCCGTTGCGCAATATCCATTCGTTTACATGTTTCATAACTTCCGCAAATTCATCGTTTAGTTTTTCAATTTCTTTATTAAGTTTTCCTACATTTTCTTTTGATTCCAGAAGCTTGTATTTCTTTGATAATTCAACCATTGCATGGAGAGCTTTGTTTTGAGTCTTTGTAAATTGATTACTTAATTTGCGTAACTCGTTTTTACAAGTGGGTTCATCGTCTCCAAGTTGCTGAATAATTTGATGTTTAGTTCGCGTAAACGAAGACTTTTGAACTATTTTCTTCATGTTCAATGCAGGTACTTTATTTTGAACGGTTAATGATCTTCCATTTGGTTATTTGATTTTTGATTTTTTCTTCTTACCATTCGTAAAACGTTGAAGAAACTACCCTCTGCTACCAATTATGATCTGATGGCGATCACAATTAATACCGAATATGTATTATAACTTGTATTTTTAAGATCTTAACCGTTTTTTATATTAACTATATCATTTATATTTTTTAAATTTTTGTATCTGAAAAACAGCAACAACAAAACTCTATTTATACAAAAATATCATTCAATTACAAAAAAACACTATTGTTGAAATAGTCGCTATATAATTGATATTTAGTTCGTTATAGCCATTTTGGCGCTATTTACTGGTCAAATCTATCGTGGTATTGGAATATTATTTTTCTTTTATGCAAAATCAATTTTCTTCCAATCACTCACCCTTTTTATTTGACTGTTCCTAAATGTTCCAAAAACTCTTATTCGTCTAGTTTTTTTTCTCGAACATCAGTTTTTTGGAAATGGCTACCAACTTGTTTATTAGAACAGAATAGAACATTCATAAAATTAATTTTCAAAAACTACTTCTAAAACAAATTTTATAACCTTTAAAAATACAAAATTGGATATTATTCAACTGGTAGAATTAATAAATCTTTACTAACTCTCAATGAGCAATATAACAAAAACTAAAACTAAAACAATTCAAAACTAATTCATAATTCGTAATTCATCAATTCTTTTTAAAAAAAAAATCGGCTTAAACATATGTTATATGATTTTTTTGAAATCCGAATTTTTTTTGATAAAAAAAAGTAATTGATAAAAAATTGTTTTTTATCAATTACTTTTTTATATCGGAACTGTAACACCAATTGCATTTGATGTGTATTGTATTTTATGAGAATAATATTTAGTTTAAGAATTTAGTTTCTGCTAACAACTTTGTCTCTCTATGTATTTTAGATTAAAAAAAAAGTTAAATCTTTTAAAGGCTGCGAAGCAGAAAGAATTAAAAAAAAAAAAAAACAGAGTCAACTGTAGTAATATGATTTGACCAATCAAGTTTGACCAATATTTTCTACAAGTTCTATATTCACAGCAGTTGACATTATTAAAGAAAAAGGATCGTCTTCAACCCGTGATATTTTTAACACAATTTTAATTGAGCTTAAAGAGATTTGGTTGAGAACAAGAATTTTAAGCAAGCCAGATAGCAAATGTCACTACCACTTCCTAAAAGTGTTTGGTGAATGGAAAAGTATAAAGAAAATAGGAAAAAGATGCTCAGAGAAAACACGTGAAGAGTTCACTGAAAAAAAAAAAAGACATCAATAAATCAGCTGAGTGATATTTCAGCATCTAAAGTCTACGAAACATTACGGGGATCTCGAATTTCAACTTTTAAAGAGGAATGGCTGTTCTTACAAAATCAGCGGGAATATCCACAGGTAAATAAAATTACATATTTAGTAATTCTACTTTGTTCGAGGTGTACAATATGTAAAATTTTTGAAATGTTTTTTTTTAAGATTGGCCACATGCTTGGTCGAGATACTATTTTCCACCATAGATAGCGCAGTTTATCTAAAAGAAGACGAGATATTATTGCGAGTAAAGAAGTTAAAAAAATTCTTAACAAGGATGATGAAAACACAAAAAGCTTAGAAGATAACAAATTTTACCCAACGTCACCAAAAAAAAGAAGATCGCCAGTGCTTATTTCTCAGTTGAATCCAAAGACGCTAACTAAATCGTTCGCTGAAGTTTCCAATCGCTTCCACCTAAGCGTTTAGAGGTGCAAGGGCTATTGAAGCAAAAATAGCTAAAGCTGTTGGCACTCCCCTTGAACAGTTTGCTATTTCAAAATCGAATGTTTATCATCAACAAAAGAAAGAACGAGAAAGTCATTTTTATCAATTAAAATATAA